ATCACTACGGAGGTAGATTGCCCCATCTTCCTTCCAAGGAGTGGCTGGTGGGTTTGAACCGCCAGCCTTCTGGTTAGCAGTCAAGTGCCTTAGGCACCCTGGTTAAATCCCAGACCAGGGTGAAGGTGGGCATTGGCAAATGCTTAGAAGTAAAGCTGCTTTTCAGTGTGTACACACCTTTGCTTTGTGAATGTTGTGGACTGGACTGGAGAGGATTGGAAACCATTGGTTTTCCTCACCCACCCAGGATTCTGAGTTTTCTTTTTAATAATCAAATATTTAAATAGTGGCTCAATTTTTTTAAGTGCTATGCTGGCCAAACAAACATATATTCAGACTGCCTAAGGAAATAGTCCTGAAAGTGGCAGTATCGTGTCACTCAAATCCTTTCCACTAGGCTCAAGCATACCTGGGTGTTCAGGAGCCTAGGAAAGATGGAATCCACTGGTGTTTTCATAGAAAGGTAGTGACTAAAACCAAGAGTGTTCGAGAAATGAAACATGACAAACCCGAGGGGCATATTTTTCCCTTTTAGGAAAGAGTGAAGGGAGGGGAATGGAGAATAGAGATAATAGGTACTGGAAGAAATGGAAAAAAGACCAATTTCTCATTAGTGGAAGGTGTGGCAAACAGAAGACAGCTAATTTAGTAGGTTTAGAAATTTATTCTTCTGATTTTTCATACAGTGTATGAAGGTAAAAAGTGGGCCTCAAAACGTTTAAACTATTAGCGATGGGACAGAGTTTCTTAGCTAGATTGAGGGAGCCCAATAGATTCATACACCAAATGTGAGGTTTGAAGCTCAAGGGAAAAAGCCATGAGAAACAACCATACACAGGAATACCAGGGACACTGGTCCCCAAACAGTGCAATGGTCTCTCTCTCCTTGGCCAGAAGAGAACCCACAAGCAGGGAATTCGGATTTCGCAAAAGTGAGTACAACAAGGCAATAGCAAGCTCTGCAACTAGGAGCCTAATGCCAAGTCTCTCATTGCATCATCAGAGAACCATAGCGTGTGTGATTGATTGTCAAGTGCTAATGCTCTCATGGGTCACCTCCTCCTCTGCCTGATTTTGGAGCTCTCCATTAAAACCAGTTTCCTGGGATTATTTGATCTTTTTCCTTGTCTCCTTTCAGAGTATGGCTGTATATATAAACATATATCTATATATATTTATAAAACATAGCTATTCCATTTTTATATACAGGCATTAATAAAGTGCAAATGTTATTGGCTATTGTAAAAATCAATCTCATTTCCTGAGGCAGTGCTAACACAGCTTATCCTATGACAATGTCAAAGGCATAGAACACTTTATGGTACCCACTCCCCACTGCAGTTGTTTCTGCATATCCTCACACCTTACGGGGAGGGGGTGACCCCCTTGGTTTTCCAGGAAGCATCAGTCCAGGGGCAGCTTCCTGCCGCCTCTGTTCTTTGGCAAAAGGGGTGGCCTGTTTGGACTCGGTCCAGCCAGCCCAGGGAAAACTATTTGGTAGTGTTCAGTGAGCCATCTTCGGGAATCTTCTCTTCAGAGCAGCTCCTCCCCGAGAGTCTGTCCAGGTGCTCCAGCTCACTGAAGCGCTCTGCCACGCACTGGGCTGTGAGACGAGCCTCGGGGTCATGGTCCCAGCACTCGGTCAGTGTCTCACACACCATCTGGATGCCCTGCAGTGGGAAAGAAGCCCAAAGGGTGGTGTGAGTTGGTAGGGTCCATGGGGGACAAGGAGACTCGCCAGACCTAGGTCTTGCACTGCAGGCCGGGTGTGAAAGAACCTGTGCGTGACCAAGTCTGATAAAGTGCCCAGTGGATGCCAGGAGCTAGGCTGGTGGAGGAGGCAGCCCCTTCTCTGTGGGAAGAGGGGCTGTGCAGTTGGTGGCTGCTCTAGGGACATGCTGTACCTATATGCTCTAGTCCCATTTGATCACAGCAGGTTGTGAAATGGAGAGACATTACATGGACCCTTCAGTAGGCTTGTTAGGTACAGCAGCATCCCCAATACTTTTGGAATTTCCCCATGAGGTGGCCTCTAACACCATCTTCACACCTTTCTATTTTAACAGGGCTGAGTACCCTAGTCACAGTGTTGTTTCTTGTTATTATGTGCCGTTAAGCCGGACCTGACTCATAGTGACCCCTCCTTGGGTTTCTGAGGTGGTATCATTATGAAGTAGATTGCTCAACCTTCCTTCTGAGGAGTGGCTTGTGGGTTTGAACTGCCAATCTTCTGGTTAGTGGTCAAGTGCCTTAGGCACTACTCTACCAGATCTCCTAGTGTATGGGTATTAACCTGGTTTCATTTTGCCAAGTCCACACATGCTCTGTAAAGTGATTTAGTCATAGCTTCCCATAGCCATCCAGGAGGACCTTGGCTATGCCTCATTACTCTCCTACAATGTTAGGATGGGTTATATGAAACAGCTGTCTTTGTAGGTCGGACATGCTTGACCCTGGGCAGTTTCATAGGATTCAGCCTATCGTGGCACAAGCAGCTTGCAATCAGCTGCTAATCTAAAGGTTTGTGGAATGAACCCACCCAGTGGCACTGCAGAAGAAAGGCCTGCATTATGGGCAAGGGAAACGGACGGAGCACTTCTACTCCATAAAGGTCCCATTCAAAGACCTCATTCAGGAAATGCTGCTCAATAAGTGTCAAAGTCTCCCCTTGCTGCTTTAATTTTTATTTTGCATTCTGAACAGTTTTGTTAGCCATGTCAAGTCCTTTTTGCAAATCAAGGATTAAATAAAGAGACCAACAGGCAGAAAGAGAATGTGTTCCTGCCATTCAGAGGATCAACAAGGTGACCCCTCAAACAGGGTGGCCCAGGTAGAGCAGATAAATCCCACCCCATCTTGGAGAGCTGGTACATCCCCTATTTGCTTGCTAATAACAATAAATTTCCCCACAGTCCTAAGCTTCTCTCTTCCTCCCCATCCCGAGTTCATGATGTTGAATTAATTGTATAATTCACCTAATTGACAGTATTGATTGATGGCCCTGTTAAAAGCAGAGTGTTATTGTTGGTATACAAGTAACATTTATTTTACTCTGGCACTGTAATTACAGGCAGTAAATTAAATTAAATATTAAGCATTAACTTGAAATCAATAGGGCAACAAATCTCATTAAGAGAAAAAACGTATTATGTAAATTCTTCCCAGAATTTCATCATCATGAATAATGGCTTCATTACAAGATCTGTACAGCAGAGGAGGCAAGAGAGTCTGAAAGAAACATAACACTGATGGCTTCCGATTTCAAGAGTTAACACAAAACAGCCTGATGTTTTCAGTGTCCCGGGGGCTTTGCCCAACACCCTGGGGAAGCCTCTGACCCCCACAGCATGGTTCACTCTGTCCTGACTGTATTCAGGTCTATCCACTGCAGTGGCTCTTGGCTCATGCCTGCAAAGACCCAGGCTTCCTGCTCCATCTGTCTTCCCAATCGTACCTGATCTGTTGTTTCTGTTTCTTATCTGAAGTTGCTCTGCCCTTAGAAAAACCTATGACTTAGCCCCCACCTTCACAGGATGAGGGAATTCATTCTAAAGAAGCAATACAAGATTTTGTCAGTGAAAAAGGGGTACACTTCTTCTCCCTCATTCTTCACAGCTGCTCTTTCCTGGGTGTGAGAGATGTATAGGCAGTTCTCTCTCTCACACACAAATAGACTACAGTTTTTCCTTTTTCTCCAATCATAGCACTCATCAAAATGCTCCTAAAACAAAGCATTTGGGTAGGCCACCCTGTAAGTCCAGAACCACTGCCTTGCTAGGGACTGCCCTAGCTACCATTTCCTGAAAAAATAAAAATAAAAAGCCATTAGGATGTTTACCCACTACCCTTCTGTCAGTCTGCCATCCTGTGGTGGTTTGCATTTTGCTGTACTGCTAGAAGTTACGTCACTGATATTTCAAATGCCAGCAGGGTCACCCATGGTGGAGAGATTTCACCAGCACTTCCAGACAAGATAGACAAGGGAGAATAGGCTGGTGATCTACTTCTGAAAATAAGCCAATGAAAACCCTATGGAGCACGACAGGACATCGTGCTGTATAGTGCAGAAAAAGATGAGCCCCCAGGTTGGGAGGCACTCAAAACATACTGTGGCCGCAACAATGGACTCAAGCATACCAACAGTCATGATGATGAGACAGGACCAGGCACCATAGGTTTTTCTAAGGGCCGAGCAACTTCAGATAAGAAACAAACAACAGATCAGGTGCGATTGGGAAGACAGATGGAGCAGGAAGCCTGGGTCTTTGCAGGCATGAGCCAAGACCCACTGCAGTGGACAGACCTGGATACAGTCAGGACAGAGCGAACCATGCTATGGGGGTCAGAGGCTTCCCCAGTGTGTTGGGCAAAGCCCCCTTGGACACTGAAAATGTCAGTGTTACCATAAATTACAGCCACCTTGGTAGCAACTAAGAACAACAAGTCTTCAATGGATAGGTGTCTGATTGGATCACTTGCATTTCCCTCTTCTCCTGTGCTCTCCTGTATTCCAGAGCAAGGAGCCACCTCTTCTTTCTTACGTGTGCTCATGCACATTTCTCCCCATGTGCATAGCCTGCTCACACTTCTATGTGACCTGTTCACCTACAGTCACTCCCCAGACCAGTTACCTGATAAGCCTGGCTTATTTCCCAATCTGTGAAGTATTTTCTTCTGGAGCTGGAGAGTACCAGAATAAGACACTTGGAATGCAGAAGGCAATGAAACATAAGCTCCCTATATAAAAGCATGCGTGAGAAGCAGAGGCTACAAACATTTTAACCCAGAAACAAGGAGGCTTGGAAAATGTGACAAATACCTCTCAAAAGCTTCTCTGTGAGCCATCTCTGAATACTATACATACCTGCTGGCTGGAATTTATAACAACAGGATCATCCCAGTTTATTTTCTTCATAGGCAAAATTTAATAGGGTCACTGTTTGAGTGACCTGGTGCTGTTCTGACAGGAAAATACCACAAATGGAATGGCTTGAACATGAATAAACTGGAGTTTATTCTCTTACAATTTTGGGAGCTTTCAGTCTGAGTTCAAAGTGCCAGGCTCTAGGGGCTGGGTCAAAGCCCCTCAACCTTGGGCTTCAGCTCTGCCTCCTGGTCTCAGCTCACTGAAGTGAGAAGCTTTTCATCACTCAGACAGTTGCTGGCTGCTGAGGCTGACAAGCCCAAGGTTGACAAGTAAAGAGGCACAGTCCTAATGTTACCAAACAACATGGCAGGCCACTAATTCAAGTTCAGATGAAGTCCCAAGATCAGCAGGGCATGGCAGGCTGTTGAAACATGACTTGGCTACGTGCAGGGTTCAAGTGTGCCAAAAGACTAGAGACCAATCCCAAAACTTCTCCTTATATATGGGAAGCAGACCACATCCCTAAAGTAGTTACTGAGCTGCTCAGAGCAGATTCTACCATGGAGTTGATTGCCAGTCTCATAATGGGGAATAACTACCTCCAGCTGCCCAGCCACCCAACCAGACCCAGCCAAGCCGACAACAACCTTAACTATCACACAGGGAAGTGCTCTCCGAGTTAAGCCGATGTCTCAGAATCCTCTCCTACCTAACAGGCTAATCAAGATGAATCTTACTCATTAGTAAAAACAGTCACCCCTTACCTGGTGGTTGAGCCAGGAGCTGGGAATTTCTGGTCGACCTCGATCTCTCAACACATTGTCCTTCATGCTTTCAACACAGGGATGCTCCCGCACCTTGGAACCAAATGGAGGCTCATAATCTTTTACTTCTGTTGAGAAAGCAGGCAAAATAGGGCCACTGAGAATGGTGTGTGCCAGTGGTGGGAATGAGCTTGGTGAGATGGCAGGTGGGGTAGCATGAGGTGCTAAGTGTCAAAATAAATCTATGATTACTCCAATAGCAATTTTTGATAACAATTAAAAAGACAAGAAGTGTTTATAGACGGGGTGTGGAAATAGTCAATAAATGTGCTAGGTATCATGTTAATGGGTGAGGATAGAGGGAAGCAAAAGATGTACAAGCTCAGAGAGCTTATGCTTTAATAAATACATTCTCAATGGGGGTGATATTGCTCCCACGGGGGCAAAAATTGGTTTGGGGTCGGCAAAGAAAATCTTAGATGTCAGAATGATTTGTGGCCCTCAGAGGCCACACAACAGAAACAGATTTAGTATTTGCTATTAAAATTTCATTGGGAGAAGGTGGTGATTAAGAAATACAGTCTATAAAACCTCATTAAGATAGAATAATTTAAAAAGTGTTGAGAAACACTATGTTAGTGGGATAACAAAGGGGACAGATTATAACATCAACGAACAAAATTCTAAAAGAAACTTTTCCCTTAAAGACACATGCTATAAAGAAAATAATGGAATGTAATCCTTCACTGGGGCCTCAGATGTCAACTGAAAAGCCAAATTCCTATAGAAACTTCCCTAAACCTCCCACAAGCCATTCATGGTTCAATGTCTTAGGGGGAACCTCTATTTTAGCACATTTCACATTTTAATATAATTTCCTGTTTATTTGTCTTACCCAATTAGACTATAGGCACTTGAGGGCAGAATCAGAGGCCCCTTCTTATTCTTGTATCCCCAGCACCTATGATAGGGCCACTTATTATTCATTATTTAATGAATGAATGAAAAATGAATGACTCTTAGACTGTGTCCAAAGTGGCAGTGCACAGACTGTGTGTGAATATTAAGACAATACATTCATCTGAGTGGGTGGACAATATACATGTTTATGCAGCACAGGACAGTTTAAAAGAGAAAATTCTCAAGTATTAAAACATATGCAATGAGAAAGGGGAGAGGGAATTGGATTCAATATATTTCTTGAAAGTATGTAGGATCTTTGATCATTAGCTTTGAAAGAATCTTGTTGAATAAGTAAAACTTTCAATAATCTGCCCTTCACAGACTAAGAATTGAAGAAACTTTCAAAGTAAAATGACATTTTGAAATGAGATAGCTCATCGCATAACATGGATGAATTTGGAGGACATTATACTAAGTGAAATAAATCAATCAAAGAAGGCCAAATACAGTATTAGTTCATTACTGTAAAAAGTCAAGGAAAGGTTTTTATATGGAAGGAAATTTTCTTTGTTGGTTGCCGGGGAGGGGAGGGGAGGGGAGGGAACACTACCAAAAAAAAAAAAAAAAGATAACTTATCCCTGCATCTGTGTGTGTGTCCTTTTCCTAGAACCCTATCTGCAAAATTTATCTCTTCAGCTTTTCTCAAATAGAAGCCTTTCAGGATATTTTCCTTATTTATAATTTTAAATATAGGAACATAGGAAGTGAAGGCTTCCATTTGTTGAGACACATTGTCCTTTTTTGTGTTCACTGTTGCCTTTAAATACTCTTGGTACTTAATTCATTCACTCTTGTGGCAAGATCTGAATTTTAATGTGCATAATATTTATATTTATGATAAATGGAGAAAGGATTGAAATTCTCAAGGTTTTCATTTTACTTGAATCCATCATCAACACCTATGAAACCAGCAGTCAAGAAATCAAATGACATATTACATTAGGCAAATCTGCTGCAAAAGACCTCTTTAAAGTGTTTAAGAGCAAAGATGTCAGTTTGAAGACTAAAGTGCACCTCACCCAAGCCATGGTATTTTCAATATCCTCATATGCATGTGAGAGCTGGACAATGAATATGGAAGACTGCAGAAGAACTAATGAATTTGAGTTGTGGTGTTAGGAAAGAATGCTGAATGTACTATGGACTGCTAGAAGAATAAATAAATCTGTCTTGGATGAAATACAGCTGGAATGCTCCTTAGAAGCAAGAATTGCCAGACTTTGTCTCTCATACTTTAGTCATGTTGAGAGAAGGGACCAGTCTCTGAAAAAGGTTATCATGCTGAGTAAAGCAGAGGGTCAGTAAAAAGCAAGATGGGTTGCCATGGTGGCTGCAATGATGGGCTCCAGCATGGCAACAATTGTGAGGATGGTGTAGGACCAGGCAGTGTTTCATTCTGCTGTACACAGGGTTGCTATGAATCGAAACTAACTCGATGGCACCTAATGATAACAATGTTTATATGTCTTAATTCTTTCTTCCATTTCCTTATGTTTCACCAGCCTGTAAGTTCCTAAACAGAAGCTGAGTTTTATGTCTTTAAATTCCCTGTTCAGTGCCTAAAACTATGCCTTATACATATAGGCATTCAAGAAACATACGGTGGGTTGAATTCATGAGAAATCAGAGAACTGGGAATCAGAGCTGGTTACCAGTAATAGTCTACTCTGATCTATATTTTCTTTTCTATAAAATAAAGAGCTGATTTGAATCACCTCCATTTTCCCCTCCAGGTTTATTGTGTAATCTAATCTGATGCTCCATTTCCAACCTTTTGGTTGCCACAGCAGATGTTGTTGATACCCTGTGCAGACTTCCTTTACTGAAGTCAGTGCGCCAGTTCCCAGCTGCAGGTGCTGTGTACTAAGGGCTCACACCTTTACCCTCATCTGGAGGATTATGCTTGTCTTATGGGACCTGCCTACCCTGGAGATTACTGGAACATGGCAGCTTATAGCCAGTGACTGATTCATGTGGAGTGTAATAGTCCAGCCCCTTTGCCTCTGGGTGGCATCACTCTGTGGCACAATTAATTGTCCAGAGTTTCTTGGTCCAGACTCTGCTTCAAGTGAACCTGGCCTGTGGCAGCAGCCAAGGAAGTGGTTTCTTCTTTCTCTCCAAGTCTTTCTCTTGGCTTAACTGCACCACCTGAACCTGAGAAGGCCTCAATGCAGCCCCTTCCTGAAAAGCTGAAAGTACGAAACCATCAGCCAATACAATGTACAAAAGGAGGGAGAAAAATATTTTTTAAAGTATGCCCACAAACAGGATAGAAATGCTGAGATTGGAATCAATCCCAGGTTATTTATCTCATTGCTGATATTTTTTCAGAACAAAGAAAACCTCTCTGAGTTAAGATTACCACCCAGACCCAGTTTATTTCACTGTAAGTCCTAATCTTCATAGTCACATAAATCACAGCATTTACATTAATTTAATAATTTGTTTGGACCAAAGCAGATTTCCATGGGGGAAAGGGAAGGGTCTTGAGGGAGGGTTAGGAGAGGATGCCAATAGGCAGCAGGAATGGGGATATTTTATGATTAAAGACAAAACAATGAGGGCTCCTATGGAAAAGAACATAAAAGTAGAATCCTTTCCCAAAGCAAAGAGAATTCTAACTAGGTTACTTGCTGCTTTTCCTAAAACCCTGAAAAGTTATGAGATCCCTAATACTCTCAAGGGATATGAGGCCTAACTAGTGAGACATTTCACACAGAAGGGAGGTCAATGGTAAGCTGAAGGAGGCTGGCAAGGGAGGTGATTCCCTGAGCCACACATGGAGAATCTATGAAGTCTTCTGCTCCTCTTACATTTAAAGTAGACACAACCAGGATGATTCTTATTTGACCCAAACTGTCTAACTCTAATCCTTAAATGATCATGTCTTAATATTAGTCTTTCCAATTAGGCGTGCGGATAGGGATTTGAAGTATATGCATGTTTTAAACCATTCAACTCCTGGGAAGTGTGATATTTATAATATAGGTATATAATTTAGATAATATTTCATCAAACAGCTAAATACACTTTTGCATTCATTTATTATAGATTTTTGTAATTTTCTCTTCTTTGTTCTTCTCCTTCATTTTGAACATGCTATTCCTATTCATTATCTTTTAAAATCATACCTTGTATTATATATAATGGAGTCCCTGGGTGGTATAAATGGTTAACTGCTCAACTACTAACCAAAAGGTTAGAGATGTGAAGCCATAAAGAGGCACCTTGGAAGACAGGCCTGATGAGCTGCTTGTGAACAGTCACAGCCTTAAAAACTGTATGTAGTAGTTCTACTCTGCACATACAGGGTTACCATGAATTGAAATTGACTTAGAAGGCAACTGATTTTCTTGTTTTCAACATGCATAACGATGAGTTAATGCTTGACAGTTTGTATCCATTAGCCTGTCAGTCAAAGCATTGATACTTGCTTGATTGTGATGATGATAAAAGAACATTCACAGGCAGCATTTTTTAAAATTTTTGAAAAATTAATCCTCTTCTTAGCCATTAAAGAAGGAGCTCTGGTGGTATAGTGGTTAAGGGCATCTGGCTGCTAACCAGAAGGTCAGTGGTCCAAACCCACCAGCTGCTCCACAAGAGGAAGATGAGGCAATCTATTTCCATAAAGATTTACAAACTTGGAAACTCAGTGTGGGTCACAATGAGTAAGAATTGACTTGATGGCAGTGAGTTTGGTTTTTGGTTGGCCATTAAGGCAGTTCTCTTTTCTGGGCCTTCATCAGTACATGGAGTAGGACGAATTACAGACTATATACTAGATGTCATTCCCTACTGGAGGCCATTTTCTAGCCATTCCTCGGTTCTTCTAAGAGTCCTTCAGAACCCCATGGACATTTGCTTTGACTCTGCTGAAGAAGGAAGCATATATACCAGATAGTACCTGAGCCTGGGAGAGGAGGTGAGAGTCTAAGAAGTACTCTGCCAGTGAGGTGGGCAGGGATGACCCTTCCCAGGATCAGACCTTAGGAACCTAAACCCAAACAGTCCTGGGGAGCTGAGTAGAGTTTTTGACTGTCAAAATATTGCTGGCTGAGACCATTGCACACTTCAACTTTCTCCCTATGGTTGCAGGAGGATGAGATGCCTACAGCACTTGGGCAAAACGGCTCAGTTGAAAGTGCATTATTTCTTTATTTT